CGGGGAGAGAGAGACACGGGGAGAGAGAGACACGGGGAGAGAGAGAGACACGGGGAGAGAGACACGGGGAGAGAGACACGGGGAGAGAGACACGGGGAGAGAGACACGGGGAGAGAGACACGGGGAGAGAGACACGGGGAGAGAGACACGGGGAGAGAGACACGGAGAGAGACACACGGGGAGAGAGAGAGACACGGGGAGAGAGAGAGACACGGAGAGAGAGAGACACGGGGAGAGAGAGAGACACGGGGAGAGAGACACGGAGAGAGAGAGACACAGGGAGAGAGAGACATGGGGAGAGAGACACGGGGAGAGAGACACGGGGAGAGAGAGAGAGAGACACGGGGAGAGAGAGACACGGGGAGAGACAGAGACACGGAGAGAGAGAGACACGGGGAGAGAGAGAGACACGGGGAGAGAGAGACACGGGGAGAGAGAGACACGGAGAGAGAGACACGGGGAGAGAGAGAGACACGGGGAGAGAGAGAGACACGGAGAGAGAGACACACGGGGAGAGAGAGACACGGGGAGAGAGACACAGGGAGAGAGACACGGGGAGAGAGAGAGACACGGGGAGAGAGACACGGAGAGAGAGACACGGGGAGAGAGAGACATGGGGAGAGAGAGAGAGACACGGGGAGAGAGAGAGACACGGAGAGAGAGAGAGACACGGGGAGAGAGACACGGGGAGAGAGACACGGGGAGAGAGAGACGGGGAGAGAGAGAGACACGGGGAGAGTGAGAGAGACACGGGGAGAGAGAGAGACACGGGGAGAGAGAGAGACACGGGGAGAGAGAGAGACACGGGTAGAGAGACAGAGACACGGAGAGAGAGACACGGGGAGAGAGAGAGACACGGGGAGAGAGAGAGACACGGGGAGAGAGAGAGAGACACGGGGAGAGAGAGAGAGACACGGGGAGAGAGAGACACACGGGAAGAGAGAGAGACACGGGGAGAGAGACACGGGGAGAGAGAGACGGGGAGAGAGAGACACGGGGAGAGAGAGAGACACGGGGAGAGTGAGAGAGACACGGGGAGAGAGAGAGACACGGGGAGAGAGAGAGACACGGGGAGAGGCAGAGACACGGGGAGAGACAGAGACACGGAGAGAGAGAGACACGGAGAGAGAGAGACACGGGGAGAGAGAGACACGGAGAGAGAGACACGGGGAGAGAGAGAGACACGGGGAGAGAGGGACACGGGGAGAGAGAGAGACACGGGGAGAGAGAGAGAGACACGGGGAGAGAGAGACATGGGGAGAGAGAGAGAGACACGGGGAGAGAGAGACACGGGGAGAGAGAGACACGGGGAGAGAGAGACACGGGGAGAGAGAGAGACACGGGGAGAGAGACACGGGGAGAGAGACACGGGGAGAGAGAGAGACACGGGGAGAGAGAGACACGGTGAGAGAGAGAGACACGGTGAGAGAGAGAGACACGGGGAGAGAGAGAGAGACACGGGGAGAGAGAGACACGGTGAGAGAGAGACACGGGGAGAGAGAGAGAGAGACACGGGGAGAGAGAGACACGGGGAGAGAGAGACACGGGGAGAGAGAGAGAGACAAGGGGAGAGAGAGACACGGGGAGGGAAGAGAAACATGGGGAGAGAGAGAGACACGGGGAGAGAGAGAAACGGGGAGAGAGAGACATGGGGAGAGACACACGGGGAGAGAGACACGGGGAGAGAGAGAGAGACATGGGGAGAGAGACACGGAGAGAGAGACACGGAGAGAGAGACACGGGGAGAGAGACACGGAGAGAGAGAGACATGGGGAGAGAGAGAGACACGGGGAGAGAGACACGGAGAGAGAGACACGGGGAGAGAGAGACATGGGGAGAGAGAGAGACACGGGGAGAGGGAGAGACACGGGGAGAGGGAGAGACACGGGGAGAGGGAGAGACACGGGGAGAGGGAGAGACACGGGGAGAGAGAGACATGGGGAGAGAGAGAGACACGGGGAGAGAGACACGGGGAGAGAGACACGGGGAGAGAGACACGGGGAGAGAGACACGGAGAGAGACACGGGGAGAGAGAGAGACACGGGGAGAGAGACACGGAGAGAGAGAGACACGGGGAGAGAGAGACATGGGGAGAGAGAGAGACACGGAGAGAGAGACACGGGGAGAGAGAGAGACACGGGGAGGGGGAGAGACACGGGGAGAGAGAGAGACACGGGGAGAGAGAGACACGGGGAGAGAGAGACACGGGGAGAGAGAGAGACACGGGGAGAGAGACACGGGGAGAGAGACACGGGGAGAGAGACATGGGGAGAGAGACACGGGGAGAGAGACACGGGGAGAGAGACACGGGGAGAGAGACACGGAGAGAGAGACACGGGGAGAGAGAGAGACACGGGGAGAGAGAGAGACACGGGGAGAGAGAGAGACACGGGGAGAGAGAGAGACACGGGGAGAGAGAGAGACACGGGGAGAGAGAGAGACACGGGGAGAGAGACACGGAGAGAGAGAGACACGGGGAGAGAGAGACATGGGGAGAGAGACACGGGGAGAGAGACACGGGGAGAGAGAGAGAGAGACACGGGGAGAGAGAGACACGGGGAGAGACAGAGACACGGAGAGAGAGAGACACGGGGAGAGAGAGAGACACGGGGAGAGAGAGACACGGGGAGAGAGAGACACGGAGAGAGAGACACGGGGAGAGAGAGAGACACGGAGAGAGAGAGACACGGGGAGAGAGAGACACGGGGAGAGAGACACAGGGAGAGAGACACGGGGAGAGAGAGAGACACGGGGAGAGAGAGAGAGACACGGGGAGAGAGACACGGAGAGAGAGACACGGGGAGAGAGAGACATGGGGAGAGAGAGAGACACGGGGAGAGGGAGAGACACGGGGAGAGGGAGAGACACGGGGAGAGGGAGAGACATGGGGAGAGGGAGAGACACGGGGAGAGGGAGAGACACGGGGAGAGGGAGAGACACGGGGAGAGGGAGAGACACGGGGAGAGGGAGAGACACGGGGAGAGAGAGAGACACGGGGAGAGAGACACGGGGAGAGAGACACGGGGAGAGAGACACGGGGAGAGAGACACGGGGAGAGAGACACGGGGAGAGAGACACGGGGAGAGAGAGAGACACGGGGAGAGAGAGAGACACGGGGAGAGAGAGAGACACGGGGAGAGAGAGAGACACGGGGAGAGAGAGAGACACGGGGAGAGAGAGAGACACGGGGAGAGAGAGAGACACGGGGAGAGAGAGAGACACGGGGAGAGAGAGAAACACGGGGAGAGAGAGAGACACGGGGAGAGAGAGAGACACGGGGAGAGATAGAGACACGGGGAGAGAGAGAGACACTGGGAGAGAGACACGGGGAGAGAGAGAGACACGGGGAGGGGGAGAGACACGGGGAGAGAGAGAGACACGGGGAGAGAGAGACACGGGGAGAGACAGAGACACGGAGAGAGAGAGACACGGGGAGAGAGAGACACGGAGAGAGAGACACGGGTAGAGAGACAGAGACACGGGGAGAGAGAGACAGAGACACGGGGAGAGAGAGACAGAGACACGGGGAGAGAGAGACACGGAGACAGAGACACGGGGAGAGAGAGACACGGGGAGAGACACGAGGAGAGAGAGAGAGACACGGGGAGAGAGACACGGAGAGAGAGACACGGAGAGAGAGAGACACGGGGAGAGAGACAGAGAAACAGGGAGAGAGAGACAGAGACACGGGGAGAGAGAGACAGAGACACGGGGAGAGAGAGACACGGAGACAGAGACACGTGGAGAGAGAGACACGGGGAGAGACACGAGGAGAGAGAGAGAGACACGGGGAGAGACAGAGACACGAGGAGAGAGAGAGACACGGAGAGAGAGACACGGAGAGAGAGAGACACGGGGAGAGAGAGACACGGAGAGAGAGACACGGGTAGAGAGACAGAGACACAGGGAGAGAGAGACAGAGACACGGGGAGAGAGAGACACGGGGAGAGACACGAGGAGAGAGACACGAGGAGAGAGAGAGAGACACGGGGAGAGAGAGAGACACGGAGAGAGAGACACGTGACGTGACGGGGGACTCTGAGCGACCTGTGAGTCGTTGTTGACCGCTTTGACGTGCGGCGACATTGGGCGTGAAAGTCCAAAATTGGTCACGACGGCGACGAGACCTCTAACCAGCACCAGCACCACCACCAGCACCAGCACCACCTTCACCACCACCACCACCACCGCCACCTCCATCACCACCACCACCATCACCACCACCACCAGCAGCACCAGCAAAAGCAGCAGCACCACCACCAGCACCACCACCACCATCATCACCACCATCACCACCACCATCACCACCACCACCACCACCACCATCACCACCATCACCACCACCAGCACCACAACCACCACCACCACCACCATCATCACCACCATCACCACCACCATCATCACCACCATCACCACCACCATCATCACCACCATCACCACCACCATCACCACCACCACCACCATCACCACCACCACCACCATCACCACCATCACCACCACCAGCACCACAACCACCACCACCACCACCATCACCACCACCATCATCACCACCATCACCACCACCATCATCACCACCATCACCACCACCATCACCACCACCACCACCATCACCACCACCACCACCATCACCACCATCACCACCACCAGCACCACAACCACCACCACCACCACCATCACCATCACCACCACCACCATCACCACCACCACCACCATCACCACCACCACCATCACCACCACCAGCACCACAACCACCACCACCACCACCATCACCACCACCATCATCACCACCATCACCACCACCATCATCACCACCATCACCACCACCATCATCACCACCATCACCACCACCATCACCACCACCACCACCATCACCACCATCACCACAACCACCACCACCACCACCACCTTCACCACCACCACCACCAGCACCACCACCACCACCACCACCCTGTCTCACTCCTCCTCCTCCTCCCCCTCCATGCCCCCCGACCCACGGCTAGGCCTGATGGGTCTCCTGCTGTGCCCGATGGTGGTGCTGGGGGGCCCGCTGCTGCTGCGGGCGGCCTGCTACAGCGGGGGCCTGGTGGGGGCCCTGTCGGCCGTGGCCGTCTGTGCCCCCAGCGACCGCTTCCTCTACGTGGGGGGGCCCCTGGCGGCCGGGCTGGGGGTGGTGGTGGCAGCCTCACTCGGTGAGAGGGTGGGGGGGGGAGAGGTGGGTGGGGAGGTGGGGGGGGGGGGGAGGAGGTGGGGGGGGTGGGGGGGGGAGAGGTGGGTGGGGAGGTGGGGGGGGGGGAGGAGGTGGGGGGGGTGGGGGGGTGGGGGGAAGGGTGGGGGGGTGAGAGAGAGTGGTGGTGGGGGTGAGAGAAAGTGGTCTCACACCCCGTGTCTCTCTCTCACACCCCGTGTCTCTCTCTCTCTCCCCGTGTCTCTCTCTCTCTCTCCCCGTGTCTCTCTCTCTCTCCCCGTGTCTCTCTCTCTCTCCCCGTGTCTCTCTCTCTCTCCCCGTGTCTCTCTCTCTCTCCCCGTGTCTCTCTCTCACACCCCGTGTCTCTCTCTCCCCGTGTCTCTCTCTCTCTCTCCCCGTGTCTCTCTCTCTCTCTCCCCGTGTCTCTCTCTCTCTCCCCGTGTCTCTCTCTCTCTCCCCGTGTCTCTCTCTCCCCGTGTCTCTCTCTCTCCCCGTGTCTCTCTCTCCCTCCCCGTGTCTCTCTTTCTCTGCCCGTGTCTCTCTCTCTCTCTCTCCGTGTCTCTCTCTCTGCGTGTCTCTCTCTCTCACGCCCCGTGTCTCTCTCTCACGCCCCGTGTCTCTCTCTCTCTCTCCGTGTCTCTCTCTCTCTCTCCGTGTCTCTCTCTCTCACCCCGTGTCTCTCTCCCCGTGTCTCTCGCCCCGTCTCTCTCTCTCGCCCCGTCTCTCTCTCTCGCCCCGTCTCTCTCTCTCTCCCCGTCTCTCTCTCCCTGTGTCTCTCTCGCTGCCCGTGTCTCTCGCCCCGTCTCTCTCTCTCCCCGTGTCTCTCTCTCTCCCCGTGTCTCTCTCACGCCCCGTGTCTCTCTCTCTCTCTCTCTCCCCGTGTCTCTCTCTCTCCCCGTGTCTCTCTCTCTCTCTCCCCGTGTGTCTCTCTCTCCCCGTGTCTCTCTCTCTCTCTCCCCGTGTGTCTCTCTCACCCCCCGTGTCTCTCTCCGTGCGAGTCTCCAGGCTCCGTGTTCCTCCCGGCCGGCTCCGCGCTTGGCTCGGCTCTCTATTCCGTCTCCCTCTACGGGGGTCTGCTGCTGTTTGGCGCTCTGCTGCTGTACGACACTCAGCGCGTGGTGCGGAGAGCCGAGACTTACCCACCTCCAGGGGGGATGCGCCCCGCCTACGACCCCATCAACGGGTGAGACGGAGAGACGCACAGACACGGGGAGAGAGAGAGAGAGAGACATGGGGAGAGAGAGAGACATGGGGAGAGAGAGAGACACGGGGAGAGACAGAAAGAGAGAGACACGGGTAGAGAGAGAGACACGGGGCGAGAGAGAGACACGGGGAGAGAGAGACACGGGGAGAGAGAGACACGGGGAGAGAGAGAGACACGGGGAGAGAGAGAGACACGGGGCGTGAGAGAGAGAGAGACATGGGGCGTGAGAGAGAGAGAGACACGGGGAGAGAGACACGGGGTGAAGGAAACGGGGAGAGAGAGACACGGGGAGAGAGACATGGGGAGAGGGAAACGGGGAGAGAGAGACACGGGGATAGACAGAAAGAGAGACACGGGGAGAGAGACACGAGGAGAGACAGAGAGTGAGACACGGCGAGAGAGAAATAGAGACATACGGAGAGAGACACAGGTAGAGAGAGACATGGGGCGTGAGAGAGAGAGACACGGGGCATGAGAGAGAAAGACACGGGGCATGAGAGAGAGAGACACGGGTAGAGAGAGACACGGGTAGAGAGAGACACGGGTAGAGAGAGACCCGGGTAGAGAGAGACCCGGGTAGGGAGAGACACGGGTAGAGAGAGACACGGGTAGAGAGAGACACGGGTAGAGAGAGACCTGGGTAGAGAGAGACACGGGTAGAGAGAGACACGGGTAGAGAGAGACACGGGTAGAGAGAGACACGGGTAGAGAGAGACACGGGTAGAGAGAGACACGGGTAGAGAGAGACACGGGTAGAGAGAGACACGGGTAGAGAGAGAGAGACACACGGGTAGAGAGAGAGAGACACACGGGTAGAGAGAGAGAGACACACGGGTAGAGAGAGAGAGACACACGGGTAGAGAGAGAGAGACACACGGGTAGAGAGAGACACACGGGGCGTGAGAGAGAGACACGGCGAGAGAGAGAGACACGGGGCGTGAGAGAGAGACACGGGGAGAGAAAGAGACACGGAGAGAGACACGGGGAGAGAGAGAGACACGGGGAGAGAGAGAGACACGGGTAGAGAGAGACACGGGGCGAGAGAGAGAGACACGGGGCGAGAGAGACACGGGGAGAGAGACACGGGGAGAGAGAGACACGGGGAGAGAGAGAGGCACGGGGAGAGAGAGAGGCACGGGGAGAGTGAGAGAGACACGGGGAGAGACAGAGAGAGACACGGGGAGAGACAGAGAGAGACACGTGGAGAGAGAGAGAGACACGGGTAGAGAGAGAGAGAGCCACGGGGGGTTAGAGAGAGAGAGACACGGGGAGAGAGAGAGAGCCACGGGTAGAGAGAGAGAGCCACGGGTAGAGAGAGAGAGAGACACGGGTAAAGAGAGGGACACGGGGAGAGAGAGAGAGACACGGGGAGAGAGAGAGAGAGAGAGACACGGGGAGAGACAGAGAGAGGGACACGGGGAGAGACAGAGAGAGGGACACGGGGAGAGAGAGAGAGAGACACGGGTAGAGAGAGAGACACCGGGCGAGAGAGAGACACGGGTAGAGAGAGACACGGGTAGAGAGAGAGAGAGACACGGGTAGAGAGAGACACGGGTAGAGAGAGAGACACGGGTAGAGAGAGAGAGACACGGGTAGAGAGAGTTCAATGACGCGCCCCACGATGGCTAGGAGATGTTAACTACCTTGCCTGGTATACAGGAGGGCGTGGGTTCGATCCCCGACCCAAGACTCTTCCTGCTGCTGTTTATTCGAAGTTTGTGTGTCTCTCTCTGTCTCTGTCTCCCTGTGTCTCTCCTTCATCCCGTGTCTCTGTCTCTCTGTTCGTCCGTAGGTGTCTCAGTATCTACATGGACATCATGAACATCTTCATCAGGATTGCCACCATCATGGCTGGTGGGGGCTCCCGGAGGAAGTGAAGCAGCTGAGATGTCTCTCTCTGTCTCGTCTCTGTCTCGTCTCTGTCTCGTCTCTGTCTCTCGTCTCTGTCTCTCGTCTCTGTCTCTCTCTGTGTCTCTCGTCTCTCGTCTCTGTCTCTCGTCTCTCTCTGTCTGTCTCTCTGTCTTTGTCTCTCGGTCTCTCGTCTCTCTCTCTCGTCTCTGTCTCTCTCTCTCGTCTCTGTCTCTCTCTCGTCTCTGTCTCTCTATCGTCTCTCTCTGTCTCTCTCGTCTCTGTCTCTCTCGTCTCTGTCTCTCTCTCTCTTGTCTCTGTCTCTCTCTCTCTCGGTCTCTCTCTCTGTCTCTCGTCTCTGTCTCTCTCTCTTCTCTCTGTCTCTGTCTCTCTGTCTCTCTCTCTCATCTCTGTCTCTCATCTCTGTCTCTCTATCGTCTCTGTCTCTCTCCCCGCTATTGCTTAACCCGAGCCCCTATCACGGGCGGCACTCGGGTCAACTGTCCGCCCAGCGCGTGGCTTGCTGGTGGTGGAGTTAGGGCCGAGTAGACCTTGGGGGAGGACGCAGCCCCGGTGAGCGAAGGAGGGGGGAGGCTGCAGATGAGGACCTCGTCGGCAACAATAGATGTACAGAGAGAGAGAGAGACGCACGTGCATACACAGACACATACAAATATATAAATGTACAGCTGTAGAAAGAGAGAGTGTGACGTAGACACACATAGAGAGACAAAGATAAAACAAAGATCCCCCGTGTAGCCTGTAACAGACTGTAGGGGCAAGTGCTGTTAGCGAGCGGCACCTATGAAGGCCGGTAATGGTTCACGATGGGGGGTGGGTGGCTACCAGCACCACCCCCGACCGCCTTTGTCTCCCCCAGTGAGCGATATTTACTACACACCGCACAAGGTTACTCATTTGAGACTGAGTCGACCTAGGGGAGGCCCGGGACCGGTTCAGATAATCGTCACTGTGGTGGTGTTGGTGGCGGTGAGCGGGAATCGAACTCCGGGTCGCCAGGTTCATAGCGCAGCGTAGCGCTAACCGCTGCACCACCGCTCCCCTACATATAGAGACACACACACAGACACACACACACACAGACACGCACACACACACACTCCCCTCCCCCTCTGCAACATGTACAGTGTGCAACGCACGTGGTGAATTAATACAGTCTGGTGTCACGTGGTCGAGGTTGGCTTCGGTGTCATTTTATTCAAATACAAATCCCTTTAACCATGAGAGAGAGAGAGCCTCGGTGATTAACACTGAACCCTGTGGGAGCCTTAGTCTGGCTCTGTGAGTCTCAGTGATTAACACTGAACCCTGTGGGAGCCATAGTCTGGCTCTGTGAGTCTCAGTGATTAACACTGAAACCCTGTGGGAGCCTTAGTCTGGCTCTGTGAGTCTCAGTGATTAACACTGAACCCTGTGGGAGCCTCAGTCTGGCTCTGTGAGTATCAGTGATTAACACTGAACCCTGTGGGAGTCTTAGTCTGGCTCTGTGAGCCTCAGTGATTAACACTGAACCCTGTGGGAGCCTTAGTCTGGCTCTGTGAGCCTCAGTGATTAACACTGAACCCTGTGGGAGCCTTAGTCTGGCTCTGTGAGCCTCAGTGATTAACACTGAACCCTGTGAGAGCCTTAGTCTGGCTCTGTGAGTCTCAGTGATTAACTCTGAACCTTATGGGGAGCCTTAGTCTGGCTCTGTGAGTCTCGGTGATTAACACTGAACCCTGTGGGAGCCTTAGTCTGGCTCTGTGAGTCTCAGTGATTAACACTGAACCCTGTGGGAGCCTTAGTCTGGCTCTGTGAGTCTCAGTGATTAACACTGAACCCTGTGGGAGCCTCAGTCTGGCTCTGTGAGCCTCAGTGATTAACACTGAACCCTGTGGGAGCCTTAGTCTGGCTCTGTGAGTCTCAGTGATTAACACTGAACCCTGTGGGAGCCTTAGTCTGGCTCTGTGAGCCTCAGTGATTAACACTGAACCCTGTGGGAGCCTCAGTCTGGCTATGTGAGCCTCAGTGATTAACACTGAACCCTGTGGGAGCCTTAGTCTGGCTCTGTGAGTCTCAGTGATTAACACTGAACCCTGTGGGAGCCTTAGTCTGGCTCTGTGAGTCTCAGTGATTAACACTGAACCCTGTGGGAGCCTCAGTCTGGCTCTGTGAGCCTCAGTGATTAACACTGAACCCTGTGGGAGCCTCGATCTGGCTCTGTGAGCCTCAGTGATTAACACTGAACCCTGTGAGAGCCTCAGTCTGGCTCTGTGAGTCTCAGTCATTAACACTGAACCCTGTGAGAGCCTCAGTCTGGCTCTGTGAGTCTCAGTAATTAACACTGAACCCTGTGGGAGCCTTAGTCTGGCTCTGTGAGCCTCAGTGATTAACACTGAACCCTGTGAGAGCCTCAGTCTGGCTCTGTGAGTCTCAGTCATTAACACTGAACCCTATGTGAGCCTCAGTCTGGCTCTGTGAGCCCCAGTGATTAACACACGAGCCCTATCAGAATCAGAAAGGGTTTTATTAGCCATGAAAGTTCACACCGACACGGAATTTACTTTGGCAGGATGGTGCATACATTCAACATATAGGAATCTAAAATCTTAAATAAGTTTTAAACAAGTCTTACTATAATAAGGGTTAACTAACACCAAGGGGCTGAAGTATGGGAGCCTTAGTGGTTCTGTGAGCCCCAGTGATTAACACTTAAGCAATGGTGGGTGTAACTGAAGCCCCAATTAGAAACGGGAGTGACCCACCTCCCCCTCGTAAGAAAGAGACCAACGAACCAATTTATTTTTTCCATTTATTTCCATTTATTTTGGTATAGAGCCCTGTGAGCCATTCGGCTCTTGAATCAGAGTGCAACCACAACAACAAACAAAAAAAAACTAAAACACGAACAAGAAAAACATCTTAAAGTGACTATACGTGTGTGTGTTGACTGTGCGCAAACAGAAAATCCATGGGAAAAAAAACATCAAAATATTCCTGAAATAAGCACCGTTACACCGACGACGCTGTGTGTGAAATGGCAAGGCAACAGGTGGCAACCGGCCCCCACAAAGGGCCGCTTCTTTTGTCCAGCCGATGTCCGATCAGATGATCAGAATAGTTACCATGTTTCTATCTGCGTGACTTCACCAAAAGAAACCAAAGAATATAAAACGTTACTGGGCGGAGGAATTCCCCATGAGCGTTATGAGACCTCCTTTGCCAGTAGCAAGATACAGGAATAGGTTTTTACCCTTTTAACTGGCACAAAAACTGACACCTTTATACAAGGGGATCATGTTTGCAATAACCACAACACAAGCAGTCAAAATGCAAACAAAAAAAAGACAACTCTGATAATAATATTGGCACTGTCCTTGAGATTTGATTGGTCCACACCCGAGACGGCTTTTCTTTAGAGCCCTTTAGTCTCTCCACTGGTGTTGGACCAGAAGACGCCAAAAGGCGTACAACTCAAAAACAGCGCACTATCAGAGTTAATGGGGGCTAGGGGTGAGCATTTACATTATGAGACCTCCTTTGCCAGTAGCAAGATATAGGAATAGGTTTTTACCCTTTTAACTGGCACAAAAACTGACACCTTTATTCAAGGCATCATGTTTGCTATAACCACAACACAAGCAGTCAAAATGCAAAAAAAAAAAGAGACAACTCTGATAATGATATTGGCACTGTCCTTGAATTTGATTGGTCCACACCAGAGACGGCTTTTCTTAGAGCCCTTTAGTCTCTCTACTGGTGTTGGACCAGAAGACGCCAAAAGGCATACTACTGAATCCCCGTGAGCTTTGAAGCAATTTATTTAATCAGATCTTCTTTGGTTCTTTCAGTAAAGTCACGTAGAATGAGAATCAAATAATAAATTAATAAATAAAATAAAACAATCAAATTCTCACGACGTTTCGGCCACAACACAAGTGGCCTTCAGGTGAAAGGAACAGACCTGTCGGGACGACAGAGCTTCGATGAACGTTGTTAAGATTCGTAGCGTCTTTTTAAGCTGGTTTAGAGAGGTGAGGCACCTTGACAAAGGGGTTTACATATAAAACAGTAGAATTTAGCATTGAAATAGCTGAGTGATTAGCTTGTGACTGGTCACAGAAATAGCTATGTTAAAGTCAAAGCTTACACATCCACAGAGGCACCTAATACAAATCAAACAGGAGAATTTAGCATTGAAATAGCTGAGTGATTAGCTTGTGACTGGTCACAGAAATGGCTATGTTAAAGTCAAAGCCTACAACATCCACAGAGGCACCTAGTACAAATCAAACAGGAGAATTTAGCATTGAAATAACTGAGTGATTAGCTTGTGACTGGTCACAGAAATGGCTATGTTAAAGTCAAAGCCTACACATCCACAGAGGCACCAAGTACAAATCAAACCGGAGAATTTAGCATTGAAATAGCTGAGTGATTAGCTTGTGACTGGTCACAGAAATGGCTATGTTAAAGTCAAAGCCTACACATCCACAGAGGCACCTAGTACAAATCAAACAGGAGAATTTAGCATTGAAATAGCTGAGTGATTAGCTTGTGACTGGTCACGGAAATGGCTATGTTGTGGCCGAAACGTCGTGAGAATTTAATCGCGTTATTTTATTAATTTATTATTTTATTCCCATTCTACGTGGTGGTGACTTTACCGAAAGAACCAAAGAAGATGAATCCTTGCAGCCACGAAAGCTTTAACGTCGAAATGTACTTGATCAGATGTCCAGTAGGAGGCGCACCGCGGTCAGAACGTTCCGACAACTAAACACAAGCACAGTGAAAACCGTGGATTGCGAAGCGAGAATTCCTTTCCGGATTAAACGTGTCTGTAATCCAAAGCACACTCGCACATCAAAGCGCTCGGCAGTACAAAAGCGTGTACAAGTACTACTACCGCTCGTATCGCCAAGACCCTCGCTCGTACGTCAGCCGTGATCACGTGACGCTCGGCAGTACAAAAGCGTGTACAAGTACTACTACCGCTCGTACTGCTAGACCCTCGCTCGTACGTCAGTTGAGATCACGTGACGCACGGCAGTACAAAAGCGTGTACAAGTACTACTACCGCTCGTATCGCCAAGACCCTCGCTCGTACGTCAGTTGTGATCACGTGACGCTCTGCATTACAAAGCGTGTACAAGTACTACTACCGCTCGTACTGCTAGACCCTCGCTCGTACGTCAGTTGTGATCACGTGACGCTCTGCATTACAAAAGTGTGTACAAGTACTACTGCTGCTCGTATCGCCAAGACCCTCGCTCGTACGTCAGTTGTGATCACGTGACGCAGGGCAGTACAAAAGCGTGTACAAGTACTACTACTGCTCGTATCGCCAAGACCCTCGCTCGTACGTCAGCCGTGATCACGTGACGCTCTGCATTACAAAGCGTGTACAAGTACTACTGCCGCTCGTATCGCCAAGACCCTCGCTCGTACGTCAGCCGTGATCACGTGACGCAGGGCAGTGCAAAAGCGTCCACACTCTTTGCTTCTGTTCGGTAAAGTCACGTAGGTGTAGGTAAAAAATAAATAACAAATTTTTTTTACCTGCTACGTGACTTTACCGACTGGAACCAAAGGGGCATGGTTCCCGTGCAGTCACGGAAGCTTCAAATCTACGAGCACAGAAGAGTGTGCGCCCGTACCACCGCTCGCTCGCACCCGGCAAGACCCCTCGCTCACGGCAAGACCCCTCGCTCGTCCATCAAGTCAAATATTCACTTGCAGATTGTCTTGTTCGTCTTGCACAACAAGTAACTCGCGGCGGGGAGACCAAGTTGCCCGAGACCCACGAGGCCTTACCGCACCCAGAGTCGTCCGGGCCAATCGCGCGTTCGCGCAGTGCAACCTGGGCGTTGCGGCCGGCGTCTGCGGTCGCAGACGCCGGCCCCAAACCTTATCGCCGCCCTGAGCGGCGTCTCCGAAACGGCGTGGCGGCAATGCTGGAAGGTCAGTCGCAGCGAAACGGAAGGGGCGTTTTGCTTCTAGATTCAAAGCCTTCGTGACTGCGGGGATCCATACTCGTTGGGTCTGTTTTGTTGGTGTTGTTGTTTTATTTGTTGTTGTTTTATTTGTTGTTGTTTTATTTTTTTTGACCTACGTGACTTTACCGAATAGGCCCAAAGAGTGTGGATATTTTACTGCTATAATAAGCCGAGGACGTGCGTCCCCCCGCGTGACGTCACTATGCATGAGGCCCACCCTCTCCCCCCGTGTGACGTCACTCCACATGAGGCCCACCCCCCCCCCCCGCCGCGTGACGTCACTCCACATGAGGCCACCCCCTCCCCCCCGCCGCGTGACGTCACTCCAGATGAGGCCCACCCCCCCCTTTGTGTGACGTCACTCCACATGAGGCCCACCCCCCTCCTGCCGCGTGACGTCATTCCAGATGAGGCCCACCCCCCCCCCCGCCGTGTCACGTCACTCCACATTAGGCCCACCCCCCTCCTGCCGCGTGACGTCATTCCAGATGAGGCCCACCCCCTCCCCCCAACGTGACGTCACTCCACATGAGGCCCCCCCCCCCGCCGTGTGACGTCACTCAACATGAGGCCCACCCACCCCCCCCGCCGCGTGACGTCACTCCACATGAGGCCCACCACCCACTCATTAATATTTAATTTGAGTGGGTGGATTTCCACATGAACGCAGAGGAAGGTCGAGCTGAATTAAATAATGTATTACACAAAGTCGCTTCAAACATGATGACGTTTCTTTACAGGAAGTGACGGTAAAAAATACATCTACAGCAGCACAGTGACGTCATCCGTGCGTGACGTCACCGCAAAAGAGGCCCCCCCACTCTTCATTAATATTTATGAGCGTGTGACGTCACTCCACATGCCGCACCCCTCCACAATAACCACGTGGGGGTGACGTCACTCCACATGCCGCACCCCTCCACAATAGCCACGTGGGGGTGACGTCACTCCACATGCCGCACCCCTCCACAATAACCACGTGGGGGGTGACGTCACTACACATGCCGCGCCCCTAAACAATAACCACGTGGGGGTGACGTCACTCCACATGCCGCACCCCTCCACAATACCACGTGGGGGTGACGTCACTACACATGCCGCACCCCTTCACAATAACCACGTGGGGGTGACGTCACTACACATGCCGCGCCCCTCCACAATAACCACGTGGGGGTGACGTCACTACACATGCCGCACCCCTCCACAATAAACACGTGGGGGTGACGTCACTCCACATGCCGCGCCCCTCCACAATAACCACGTGGGGGTGACGTCACTCCACATGCCGCACCCCCCCACAATAACCACGTGGGGGTGACGTCACTACACATGCCGCACCCCTCCACAATAACCACGTGGGGGTGACGTCACTCCACATGCCGCACCCTGCCACAATAACCACGTGCGGGTGACGTCACTCCACATGCCGCGCCTCTCCACAATAACCAATAACGGATGACGTCACTCCACATGGGGTAACCCCCCCCCCTCATTAATAATCATGAGCTGAACAATTTTTCTCTTGAATATTTCTGATTTACTGCAATAGACACCCGTCCCTGGACGGGTAAAAAAAGCTCGTACCTAACTATAATCACCCAGGGAATGTCCTTAACGCTCGTGACGTCACTCCACATGAGGCCCACCCCCCTCATTAATATTCATGAGCAGGTGATGTCCACCAAATGGACCCCCACCCCCCACCCCCCCATTATCACATACTGTTATGACTTAAGAGATTTCGCGAATGCGGGAATGAATATTCTTCGGGTCTTTCGGCAAAAGCCACGTAGATAGAGAAAAAAAATAATTAAAAAGAGTATCACGGACGTTTCGATCGCAACACAAGTGGCCCTCTTCAGGCGAAGCAACGGAAACTGCCGGGACTGACAGAGCTTCGGTGACCGCTGCTAAGATCCGCAGCGTCTTTTTTTAAGCTCGGTGGGAGGAGCAGGACGCCTTGACGAAGGGAGTTTACATGTCAACAATAGCTGCGTTAAAGTGTCCAAGCAGCAGGGTGTTGCAAGTCAGAAAATTAGCTGGGCTGGTCAGCATGTTTTTATTTACATTATGAGACCTCCTTTGCCAGTAACAAGATATAGGAAGAGGTTTTTACCCTTTTAACTGGCACAAAAAACTGACACCTTTATTCAAGGCATCATGTTTGCAATACCCACAACACAAGCAGTCAAAATGCAAACAAAAAGAGACAACTCTGATAATGATATTGGCACCGTCCTTGAATTTAATTGGTCCACACCCGAGACGGCTTTTCTTAGAGCCCCTTAGTCTCTCCACTGGTGTTGGACCAGAAGACGCCAAAAGGCGTACAACTCAAAAACAGCAGCGCACTATCAGAGTTATTGAGGGCTCGGGATTGAGCATTTACATTATGAGACCTCCTTTGCCAGTAACAAGATATAGGAATAGGTTTTTACCCTTTTAACTGGCACAAAAACTGAAACCTTTATACAAGGCATCATGTTTGCAATAACCACAACACAAGCAGTCAAAATGCAAACAAAAAGAGACAACTCTGATAATGATATTGGCACCGTCCTTGAATTTGATTGGTCCACACCCGAGACGGCTTTTCTTAGAGCCCCTTTAGTCTCTCCACTGGTGTTGGACCAGAAGACGCCAAAAGGCGTACAGCTCAAAAACAGCAGGGCACTATCAGAGTATTGAGGGCTAGGGGTGAGCATTTACATTATGAGACCTCCTTTGCCAGTAACAAGATATAGGAATAGGTTTTTACCCTTTTAACTGGCACAAAAAAACTGACACCTTTATTCAAGGCATCATGTTTGCAATAACCACAACACAAGCAGTCAAAATGCAAACACAAAGAGACAACTCTGATAATAATATTGGCACTGTCCTTGAATTTGATTGGTCCACACCCGAGACGGCTTTTCTTAGAGCCTAGTCTCCACTGGTGTTGGACCAGAAGATGCCAAAAGGCGTACAACTCAAACACAGCGCACCATCAGAGTTATTGAGGGCTCGGGGTGAGCATTTACATTATGAGACCTCCTTTGCCAGTAACAAGATATAGGAATAGGTTTTTACCCTTTTAACTGGCACAAAAAACTGACACCTTTATTCAAGGCATCATGTTTGCAATAACCACAACACAAGCAGTCAAAATGCAAACTAAAGAGACAACTCTGATAATGATATTGGCACTGTCCTTGAAATTTGATTGGTCCACACCCGAGACGGCTTTTTTGTATTATTTTATATTTTTTATTATTTTATTGTTTCATATTTTTTTATTATTTTATTGTTTTCCCTTCTTCTACGTGGTGGTGGTGGTGGTGACTTTACCGAAAGAACCAACAATATGAATCCCATGCAGTCACGAAAGTTTTAAATCGTCACAGTATTCTTTGGGTCTTTTGGTTGAGCCACGTAGATCGAAAAAAATAATAATAATAAATTCACGTCCAAAGAATCAATACATTTTTTTTTATAAATTTATCAAAATTTTTAAATACATTTTATTTTTATTTTTATAAAAAAATGTTTTTAACACAACAAAGCTACTTATAAAACAATCTTTATTTTTTATTAGCAAAAATAATTTCTCCAGCTGCTTGGTGGTGGGGGAGGCGCCCCCCCCCCCCCAACGTCACCTACTGGACATCCAATGTCACCGAAGAGCTTTACAGCTCATCGGATTTACTCCTGCCCACAGTGTTTCAATCACGATTCCGAATCCATACCCACTCGCGATCGATTCCCTGAAAAACCCCGAAACCCCACCCATTGCAAACCGTTACACCAAAATCGATTCACGAATTCGCGCCGCTTAAATCGAACACCGATTCCGACTCCGTTAATTATAGTTCAACGGAATCGATTCCTTTCGATCGCCGAAGAATCGCTTCCTCCCGCGCGTGACGTCACTCGCTTAACTGACACGAACAAAACAAAACAAAAAAAATGGCGGCGCTTCGCTGTTCTGTGTCGGCGTTCAGGTGAGAGGCGACTTCTTTATCCACAAACATCGTCCCCCCCGCCGGCTCCCCCTCGCAGTTTGGCAACGCATACTCGACTTGAGCGCCCTTAGATTTTGAGAACTTTGTCCTCCGGTTGGGGGGGTGGATTACACGAACGTTTAACGATGTCGTAACAAGTTGCGGCCTAGCCAAGGATGAACCTCCACCATCACCACCACCATCACCACCACTACCACAAAACTAAATTCTCGATTTAAAGCTTTCGTGACCGCGAGGATTCATCTTCTTTGGTTCTTTTCGGTGAAGTCACCGCCACGTAGAATGAGAATGAAAATAAAAAAATTGATCAAATAATAAAATAACGCGATAAAATCTCGCGACGTTTCGGCCGCAACGCAAGCGGCCTTCATCAGGTGAGTCTTCGGGTCTTTGAGTGAGTCTATGGGTTCTCCGATTGAGTCTGTGGGTCTCTCTGTGAGTGTCTATGTGTCCCTGTGAGTACATGGGTCTCCGAGTGAGTATATGGGTCTCTTTGTGAGTCGGTGGGTTTCTGTACGAGTCTGTGCGTCCCCGTGTGAGTCGATGTGGGTCTATGTGAGTATGAAGTTTTATAACTCTTTGTCTCTGTCTGTCACTGGCAGAACGTTAAGGGTGGCGACCAGAATGATGGGAGTCGCTCAACAAACAGGTAAATATCACCACCGTCATCATCACCACTATCATCATGACCATCATCACCGCCACCATCATCACCACCATTATCACGACCATCATCACCACCACCATCATTACCATCATCATCAACCAGCCCATGATCATTACTATCATTACCACCATCATCATCATCACCACCACCATCATTACCACCATCACCACCATCATCATCACCACCACCATCATTACCACCATCATTACCATCATCACCACCACCATCATTACCACCATCATTACCATCATCACCACCATCATCATCACCACCATCACCACCACCATCATTACCACCACCACCATCACCACTATCATCACCATCATTATCACTGCCACCATCATCACCACCATTATCACCACTATCATCACCATCATTATCACCACCATCATCATCATCACCACCACCATCATCACCACTATCATCACCATCATTATCACCACCATCATCATCACCACCACCATCATTACCACCATCATCACCACCACCATCACCACTATCATCACCATCATCACCACCACCATCATCACCATCATCACCACTATCATCATCACCATCATTATCACCACCATCATCCACATCTGCATGCCAGACGCATGCAGCGTCTGGAACGCTCTTCTGATATCAGGAAGCTATTGGGAGCTGTGCTCCACTTTTAAATGGTCATCGTTTAGATTGAACAAATCATTTCATTAAAAACTGCTTCTTGTTGTGTTTAGTTTGTTGTCTTTCCCCCGCCACCTTGGATTAGCACGGTCGCCTTGGGTGGGAGAGAAGTTGGACATAATTATATACAGGTCACTCTTCACGAATGTGTCTGTGTCTCCCTCTCTCTCTCTCTTTCCCTCCCTTCTCTCTCCCCCTCTTCCATTCTTTCTCCCCCGCTTTCCCCTGCTGCTCCTTCCCGTTACCTCCCCCCCCCGCGCTCTCCCCCTCTCGCACAACTCTCTCCGCTCTTCTCGTCCTTTCTCCCGCTCTCTCTCCCTCGCTCTCTCTCAGTCCGCTCTCTCTTCGTCCAGACCCAGGAGACCCCAAACCCCAACAGCATCAAGTTCCTCCCCGGGCGAACCATTCTCGAGACCGGGACTATGGACTTTCCCTCTCAGCGGGAGGCCCACCGCTCCCCCCTCGCCAGGTGCAAAGGTGGTGCGGTCCAATTGTTAGCAGAAGGCCCCCCCCCCCCTACTACACAATGTACAGCCCAATTCTGTTAGCAGGGCCACCCCCCCTACTCTACATTACACGTGGTACAGCCCAACTTTACTTTGCTTAAATTTCGATTTAAAGCTTTTGTGACTGCAGGGATTCATAGTCTTGGTTCTTTGGGTAAAGTCACCACCGCGTAGAAGAAGGGAAACAATAAAATAATACAAATATAAAACAATATTGTTTTATTATTTATTGTTTATATTTTTTATTGTTTTATATTTTTCTTATTTTATTGTTTCCCTTCTCTTTGCTTGTTAAATTCAATTATAAATATCTTACCCGGCATCTCGCCCCATGTCTCTCTCCCCCTGTGTGTCTCTCTCCCCATGTCTCTCTCCTTGTGTCTCTCTCTCCCCCTGTGTCTCTCTCTCCCCGTGTCTCTCTCTCCCTGTCTCTCTCTCCCCGTGTCTCTCTCTCCTTGTGTGTCTCTCTCCCCGTGTCTCTCTCTCCCCCTGTGTCTCTTTCTCTCCCCCTGTGTGTCTCTCTCCCCGTGTCTCTCTCTCCCTCTGTGTCTCTCTCCCCCTGTGTCTCTCTCTCCCCGTGTCTCTCTCCCTGTGTGTCTCTCTCCCTGTGTCTCTCTCTCCTTGTGTGTCTCTCTCCCCGTGTCTCTCTCCCTGTGTCTCTCTCTCCCCATGTCTCTCTCTCCCTGTGTCTCTCTCCCCGTGTCTCTCTCCCCGTGCCTCTCTCTCCCTGTGTCTCTCTCCCCGTGTCTCTCTCTCCCCGTGTCTCTCTCTCCCCGTGTCTCTCTCCCCCTGTGTCTTTTTTTTATCTCTCCCCATCTCTCCCCGTGTCTCTCTCTCTCTCTCCGTCTCTCAGGCAGTTGTTCAGAGTTGAAGGAGTCAAGAGTGTTTTTCTAGGACCGGATTTCATCACCATCACCAAGGTGAGGATGACGACGGCGATGATGGAAGTTGGAGTGAGGTAATTGGTGAAATAATGGGTCAGGTAATGAGTGAGGGGGTGGAGGTGGAGAAGTTTGAGATGGGGGGAAAGACGAGGAGGAGGAGAAGGGGGGGGAGGATGAGGAAAGGGAGGAGGTGGAGGGGAGGCAGAGGAGGTGGCGGAGCGTGTGGAGGAGGATGTGGAAGGGGTGGAGGAGGTTGGGAGGAGGAGGTGGAGGGGAGGCAGAGGAGGTGACGGAGCGTGTGGAGGAGGATGTGGAAGGGGTGGAGGAGGTGGAGGAGGTTGGGAGGAGGAGGTGGAGGGGAGGCAGAGGAGGTGGCGGAGCATGTGGAGGAGGATGTGGAAGGGGTGGAGGAGGTGGAGGAGGTTGGGAGGAGGAGGTGGAGGGGAGGCAGAGGAGGTGGCGGAGCGTGTGGAGGAGGATGTGGAAGGGGTGGAGGAGGTGGAGGAGGTTGGGAGGAGGAGGTGGAGGGGAGGCAGACGAGGTGGCGGAGCGTGTGGAGGAGGAGGAGGAGGGTCGGGAGGAGGATGACTGGGGACTGGGTGATTCACGAGGTGTCAAAACCTCCCCACCATGGCTGGCCACTCACCGCCTCGTGTGCCAGAGCGCCGGCCTTCAAAGGTGCCGCTGCTACTCAATACTAAAAGCATTTGCCCCGCTACAGCCCGCTACAGCCTGCTAGAGGCTTTCCAGGGGATCTTTGCCGGTCCCGGGCCTCCTCCCATAGGCTTGCTCGGCCTCAAATGAGTTACCTATTGCAGGCTGCAACGGGCGATCTTTGTCTTTGTGTGTGTGGTGGTGGTGGTGGTGGTGTTGATGGTGGTATCATCTGGTGGTGGCGGTGATGGTGGTATTGTGTGTGTGTGTGTTGGTGATGGTAATGGTGTTGATGGTATCGTGTGTGTGAGCAGTGGTGGTGGTGATGATAATGGTGGTGGCATTGTGTGTGTGTGGTGGTGGTGATGGGGCAGTTGTGGAGAGAGTGGAGAGTTTCCCATACCTGGGCAGTGTGCTCATGACCGGCTGCGGTTTAACAGCAGAGGTCTCACTCCGAATCAGTCGAGCGGCAATATCTTTTTATCGGTTGCGTAACGCTGTGTGGAAGCTACCTGGTCTGTCGCTCCGCACTAAGCTTCAGGTCTTCTCGGCCACGGTCATTCCCTCCCTTCTCTACGCTTGCGAAACGTGGACCCCCCAAATGGAACATTTTCGCCGGTTAGAAACATTTAGGCTGGCCTGCCTACGATCCATCCTGGGTTTAACCAGGCTGGATTGTGTGAGGAGCTCAAAAATCCTCGAAAGTTCTGGACACAGTCCCATCGGTGAGCTCCTCCGGCAGGCAAGGCTGCGATGGCTGGGTCATGTAGCCCGCATGCCCAGCCACCGCATGCCCACTTAGCTTTTGTTCGGCTGGATAGAGCGGGCTAAACAGGCGTGGTACAGGCTTGACAAGACATGGAATGATGTGGTACAAAAGTATATGGAGCTGAGTGGACTTGCCAATAACTGGTACCAGCGTTGTCAATATCGGCCTCTGTGGAGGAGGCTCGTGAAGGACGCTGCTACTGGGCAGTTGGAGGCAGTCGCCCTCCAACAACAACGGAGGGCGGAGCAGCGACGCTCACAACAACGAACGGAGCGCCGGGTGGCTAAAGCACAGCAGGTTGGCGCAGTAGGGGGGCACAGGTGGTGCATCAGCCCAGTCATCTCAGTCATCTCAGTCAGTCGACCCGTGGCACCTGCTGGGTCTGCCCCGTGACCTGTCCGGTGGGTGTTCAACCATTCACTTGGCCTGACAGTGGACATAGCCTGGCGCAGGTACCGCGGTGATGTCACCGCCACTTCGTGGACGATGGCGGCGATGGCGGTGATGATGGCGGTGATGGTGACGGGTGGCCGTGTCGGTGTCTCCGCTGCAGGTGGAGGAGGATTCCTGGAAGCTTCTGAAGCCCGAGGTCTTCGCGGCCATCATGGACTTCCTGTCGTCGGGGCTGCCCGTGGTCACCATGGCAACCGCCGCCGCCGCCGCCACCCCCCAGGTGGGCGAGGGGGCGGCGGCTGGGGGCGAGGATTGGGGAGAGGACGAGGAGGTGGTGGCACTTATCAAGGAGCTGCTTGACTCGCGAATACGGTGAGCCCTGAGCGGTGAGGGTGTCTGGGGTGAGCGGTGAGCGTGTCTGGTGAGCGGTGAGGGCGCCTGGTGAGTGGTGAGCGGTGATTGTTGTTGGACTGCGCTTCTGCACCCCACCCCCCCCCCAATGGCCAGGATCACCCACCCACTCACCCAAACACTCTCCCCATGTCTCCCTCTCCCCCCCCGTGTCTCGCTCCATCCGTGTCTCTACCCCCGTGTCTCTCTCTCCCCGTTTCTCTCTCCCCGTGTCTCTCTCTCCCCGTTTCTCTCTCCCCCCGTGTCTCTCTCTCCCCGTGTCTCTCTCTCCCCGTGTCTCTCTCTCCCCGTTTCTCTCTCCCCCCGTGTCTCTCTCTCCCCGTGTGTCTCTCTCCCCCCGTGTGTCTCTCTCCCCCCGTGTCTCTCTCCCCCTGTGTCTCTCTCCCCGTGTCTCTCCCCCCCCCGTGTCTCTCTCTTTCCATGTCTCTCTCTCTCCCCGTGTCTCTCTCTCCCCGTGTGTCTCTCCCCCCCATGTCTCTCTCTCTCACCGTGTCTCTCCCCGTGTCTCTCTCTCCCCGTGTCTCTCTCTCTCTCCCCGTGTCTCTCTCTCCCATGTCTCTCTCTCTCCCCGTGTCTCTCCCCCCCGTGTATCTCTCTCCCCCGAGTCTCTCTCCCCGTGTCTCTCTCCCCGTGTGTCTCTCCCCGTGTCTCTCTCACCCCGTGTCTCTCTCTCCCCGTGTCTCTCTCCCCGTGTGTCTCTCCCCCCGTGTGTCTCTCCCCCCCATGTCTCTCTCTCTCACCGTGTCTCTCTCTCACCGTGTCTCTCTCTCACCGTGTCTCTCTCCCCGTGTCTCTCTCTCTCTCTCCCCATGTCTCTCTCCCCATGTCTCTCTCCCCGTGTCTCTCCCCGTGTCTCTCCCCGTGTCTCTCTCTCCCTGTGTGTCTCTCCCCCCCATGTCTCTCTCTCT